TTTTAGACCACAGCTACAACAGCCTCGAAGTGCTTCTATGGTTAAACCTGAGAAAATGCTTATCTAGGCAGTCCTTTACAAGTTGAGTGGCCCATGGCACTCTATTTTCAAAGGTAAGTCTTTTAAACGAGTTTGCAGTTTTACACCCTGAAGCCACCAGCCAGTAGCCTTGCCATTTTAAATGTTGGGGTTACTACTGCTATGATTGAACACCATGACCAAAAGCAACTTGGGGAGTAAAGGGTTTATTTCTCTCTCAGTTCCATATAACAACAGTTCATCATGAACAGTAGGGAGGGCAGGAACTCGCACAGGGCAGGAACCCTGAAGTAGGAGCTGATGCAGAGTCCATAGAGGCCTGCTACTTACTGGCTTGCTCCTCAAGGCTTACTCAACCTACTTTCTTATAGAGCCCAGGACCACCAGCCCAGGGATGGTGGTACCTTCAATGAGCTGGGCCCTCCTCCCATCAATCACTAATTAAAAAAATTCTTAACAGACTTGATCTTATGGAGGCATTTGCTTAATTCAGTTTCCCTCTTTTTGGGTGACTTTAGTTTATGGCATTGACATAAAACCAACCAGCACAGCTGCTGTTCTGGACAGTGCTTTTCACATCTTTCTGCATTGTTTTTTGCTCCAAACTGTGACTACATACCTGGCTGAAAGCGCTCAACAATAACCCTATCACAACCTGAGTGCTATGCTGTCTTGAAATTCCCATTACTTTTTAATTCAAGCTCGCTTAAAATTTCAGGGTACAGGCAGGATGAAAACAAACTGTCTGCAGGCTGTATCCAAATGGCTGTAGCCCAGTTCCCAATAGAGTCCTTGTTCCCATCTAAAATCTCATGAGCACAGTCTTTGCTATCCACATCATCACCAGCCTTCCAGCCTCGAAAGCTTCAACCGATTAATCTCTGCTGACAGCGCTCTAGGGATTCACAAACTCATATCTGCAAACTCTTCCAAATTCTTCCTACAAATGAGTTCCAAAGACCTAAGGACCTCATGGTCAGATTTGGTTACAGTGACACGCTCTTCTGTGGCATCCATTTTCTGTACTGGTTAATTGTGTTGCTGTAACCACAATACCTAAGAGAAACAATTTTCAAATCATGTATTTTGGTTCACAGTCTGGGAGGGTTTGGTCCATACCTGCAGAGCAAGCATAGTGTAGCATCTCAGCTCATGGTGGTAGTGGCTGTTCATCAAAAAACAGAGCATGAAGCCAGGTGTTGGTGGCGCACGCCTTTAATCCCAGCACCAGGGAGGCAGAGGCAGGTGGATCTCCGTGAGTTCGAGGCCAGCCTGGTCTCCAGAGCGAGTGCCAGGATAGGCTCAAAAAAAAAAAAAAAAACAAAAACAAAAACAGAGAAACAGAGCATGATTTGGGAAGGACTGGCAATCACTTACTATTTCCACCAGATGCTCACCTCCTTAAAAGGCTCTACACTCCCCATCCCACCTCCAAAAAAACCACAGTGCTACAGACTGGAGGCCAAGCATCCAAGTACGAGTCACTAGGAGACACTTCAGATTTGAACCATAGAGGATTAAAGTGTAGGAAGGACTTGGTAGGACAGGAACAGAAATCCAAAGTGTGGCTTTTTTACACAGTGTAGACATTGATCTTGAAGACGTTCCCTCCTGGATTCATCTGGGTGTGATGATAGCTATTGTAGTTTGCTTTTTATTGCTGTGATAAGCATCATGACCAAAGGCAACTTGGGAAAAGGGAGTTTATTTGGCTTAGAAGTCACAGTTCATCACTAAGAGAAGCCAAGGCAGGAAGGAACTCAATGCAGGAACCTAGAGGCAGAAAGTGAAACAGAGGCCTTGATGAATGCTGCTTACTGGCTTTTATTTTTCATGGTTTTCTCAGCTTGCTTTCTTATACAATTCAGGACCATCTACCCAGGGGTGTGACACTATCACACTAGGCTGGACTCTTCCAAATCAAACACTAATCAAGAATATGCACTAAAGAATTGCCTACAGGCCAATCTGATGGAGACTTTTTCTGATTAAGGTTTTCTCTTCCTGGATGACCCTAGATTGTGTCAAATTGACAAAAATCATCAATACAATACCATACCAAGCAGACAGATTCTTCATGTTGGAACTATCTTAGGTAACGGGCTTTGTATCTTCTTTCAGTTGCTTATGGAATCTTATCCCCTGCCAAGATGCTCTTGGGTCTTGGTTTCTCCAGGAAGTAGAAATGGGCCCGTGGGAAAGAGATACAAAGTCTGGATCTTGAGTGAGTTCATCATGGTCCTTGAGAATGGATTAAAAAATGGGGGTCAAAGGGTTTCTTTCAAACCCTTTCAAACCGCAGTTTCTTCCTTTGGGGCACACAGGAAATCATCCCCCTTGGGTTTTGTCTTATTTTAAAAGGTTTACCAGCTGCAGCAGGCCCATCAGGACATGAACCAGGCATTTGCTTTTGGGCCACCAACCAACTCCCAAATCACAACACAGAAACTTATTAGTTTTGAATGTTTGGCCCAGCTTAAGCTTGTTTCTGGCTAGCTCTTTTAATTTAAATTAACCTGTTTCTCTTTATCTGCCTTTTGCCTCTGGGATTTTTACCTTTCTTTCCCTATGTCTTACTTTCCTGCTTCCTGCAGTGTTGGGCTGGCTGGTGGCTGCCTGGTTTCTGGCCCCAGGCATGTCCCTCTCTTTCTCCCTCGTTCTCTTCTTTCTCCTTCCTCTTCTCGTTCTTTTCTTCCTCCTCTTCTTCTCTCCTATTTATTCTCTCTCCCCAGCCATCCTGCCTATCCCTCATCTGCCTAGCTCTTGGCAATTCAGCTTTTTATTAGACCAATCAGGTGCCTTAGGCAGTCAAGGTGAAACAGATGCAACACATTTTCCCATAATTAAACAACTGCAGCAGAAACAAGTGTAACAACCTTTACACGGTTAAAGTAACATTCCACGGCATAAACAAATGTAACACGTCTTTACATAGTTAAATATTCTGCAAGGACGATTTCCCTTTTGTTAACTGACAGTTGATGGGAAATGTGTTTCTAATACACTGGAAACTCATGGGAATAATGTCTATAACGTTAATTTAGGCCAGTTCAAACTCAAAGGAAGAGAATTAAGTACAGATAGGTGAGTTCTCATTGGGACATCTTGGAATTCTGCCTACCTCACAGCTGGAGGGCAGCTACTTCATTTTTTTATGTAGTTCCTCATGGGCCTCTAAGAAACCAGGCTCTCTGCCCCAGAGGTTCTGTTCCTACTCTTGTAGACATCATACTAGACAGAAAAGAATACCATGGCTTCATGGATTCTCAGCGCTGAACTATAGCATATCCACTGAGGCTTAGAGGCTTAGAAGGGAGATGTAGCCTTGCCCCAGATGGAAAAGTCCTCCAATGGTACTGCCCTACACAGAGAACCCAATTGAACTGTGTCCAGACTATTGATGTAAAGAACCTGAGAAAATAAACATGTGTTATTTTAAGCTGCTAAAGTGTTTGGTAATTTGACAGACAACAACATAGGATTCTTTTCAAAGCAGCATCGGGAATGAAGCCCACGGTTTGCACAAATTTGGCAAGGCCTCTGCCTCTGAGCTGTACCTCCATGCTCATCCCGGTTGCTTTTTCATGTCACCTTGAAGACTCCCTTGTAACACAAGAGTCTGATGTCATTGTAGTACTTATTCCTGATGCTTGGAGCCTGTACCAGTCATGTCAGACACGGCCTTTGATAGGCTGAGTAGATCACGAAGCAGGTTACAGTGCTTCACAGAACGATGGATTTGCCTTTCCATCTGCTTCCTGGCTATCAAATCTACCGGTGGCGCCCCCATCTGGATTCCTGGAGAACGTGGGACTGTCAGTGCCGTAGTGACTCTCAGTCCACTCAGCCAGATTTGTAGTTACAAAAGGTCAGTGTGTGAGTGGAGGGCAATGATGACTGAAGGGCATGATTCCAGAGTCAAGGTACACATTTTCTTACAGATGAGTCATGATACTAACTAAGCCTATCTTATTAGTTTTAGCCTGACTCTTTGGTTACATTCAAAGCCCTCCAAGGGGCGTGGTTAAATGGTCGGTCACTTCTGGGGGTGTGGTGGGGGATGGACGCAGGAGGCATGTCTCCCTAATCCTTTCTTGAGAAATTTTGATGAAGTAGAGAAAGCAATAACAATAGTAACCCAAGCAGGGGGCGGCAGAGATAAAGGGCAGAGCTGAAGGAAATGAGGCCAAACCCTGAACACAGGGATGCTGGGAGGCCCTGACCAAGCCTGGCCCTTGCTGCACAGCTACTATTGATACAAAGGTGATTTGGATCATGACCCCTGGAGGGGAGCTTACACTCGGGCCATTGTCCATCTCATAATGCTCACGTTTATCGACCGTTTCCCATGTGCTGGAATCTGGACCGGGGACTGATCACACAAAGATGGTCAAACCCAGAGGCCAAGCTGTTGGTGTTCCCAGGGAAACAGAAGCATCCCAGGGCAATGAGAGTTTTGTTTTTTGTTTGATCTTAACATCATTGTTTAATTTTTCATTTTTAATTATGCATCAAGGCAGAAACAATAGTGTAATAAACTCCCATAAAGCCATCACCAAGCTCCAAACATCTTTATTAATGTTTTATTAATATTAATATCGTGCTAGCTAGTACATTTTACTGTGTTTCAATACAAATTCGGGGTATGTATTTTACTCATAAATACGTCGGCATGCGTTTCTGATGTGTTCTTTAATAATCAAGACATTAGCTAAATGGGACTTCCATTCCAACACCTCTATCCACTGCCACAGGGGACATCACGAATCCCGAGTGTAATCCTCCATCTTGTCTCTAGGAGTCTTGCCAAGGTCTGGGGTCGTTGGATGTGGGCTCCCAGTAAAGCCACTTTGTGCACTGGGGACCCAGAACCTGTGTCCATTGGTGGCCTGTACTGATCTAATCCACGCTGCCTCCACCCTCCCTAACTGAGCCCTTCTCTGTCCCTGCTGCAGATTGAAATGCTAGAACACAAATACGGAGGCCACCTGGTATCCCGACGCGCTGCGTGCACCATCCAAACCGCTTTCCGCCAGTACCAGCTCAGCAAGAACTTTGAGAAGATCCGTAACTCGCTCCTGGAAAGCCGCCTACCCCGTCGGATCTCGCTGCGCAAAGTGCGGGCGCCCACCGCAGAAAGCCTCGTGGCGGAGAAGGCGCTCCTGGAGGGCTGTGGGCTCTTGGGGCTGCCGCTGGGGCGCTCGCCCACCCTGCCACCCACCTTCGCAGGCTCTCTCACGGAGCTGGAGGACTCCTTCACCGAGCAGGTACAGTCCCTGGCCAAGTCCATCGACGACGCCCTCAACACCTGGAGCCTCAAGACCATGTGCTCACTGCAGGAGAGTGGCGCGTACCAGCTCCACCAGGCCCTGCACCCTGCTGCAGGACAGCCAGGCCTGGAGGCCGAGGTGCGGGAGCCTGAGAGTGGCCCAGGGTCTGGAGATGAGACAGGCGGCCTGCCTCAGGGTCACAGCAGTACCCTCATGATGGCTTTCCGGGATGTCACGGTGCAGATCGCTAACCAGAACATCTCTGTTTCCTCTTCCACCGCCCTGTCTGTGGCCAACTGTCTGGGCGCACAGACCACCCAGGCCACAACCGAGCCAGAGGCCCGCCAAACCGAGCAGGGGGACGCCGCGGCTCAGGAGGTCTCTGAAACCCCAGCCTCGGAACAGGAACAGGCGGAAGCCCCGGATGAGAACTCAGAAGCAGCAGCAGAGAGTCGCGCCCAGGGCGCACATGGACCAGTGGTTGCGGAGGCCGTGGTTGAGGAGGCGGTGGCCGTGGAGGCAGAGGAGGAAGAGGAAGAGGCTAGGCAGGCAGGGAAAGGGGCCGAGGCGGGCGACACCTCTGAGCAGTTGAGCAGCAGCAGCGCATCCACCAAGTCCGCCAAATCTGGCTCAGAGGTTTCGGCCGCTGCCTCCAAGGAGGCCCTGCAGGCGGTGATCCTAAGCTTGCCGCGCTATCACTGCGAGAACCCGGCCAGCTGCAGATCCCCCACGCTCTCCACCGACACCCTGCGCAAGAGGCTGTATCGCATCGGCCTCAACCTCTTCAACATGTGAGTGAGCTTTGGAAGGTCAGGAGGGAGGGGCCAAGGGGAGACTAGCGGAGTAACCAGTCCTGATAGCATCTTCCCGGGGTCCTTCCAGGCACTTTGTGTTTGCCCTGGTACCCCTCGCCTGAGCTCCCAGGGAATTTAAGAAGTACACATTATATTTTTCCTGATGACCAACAACACATCCAACACAGGTTTTTCACAACAATTGCTTTTTAAGATGAAGTGGTGAGTGGTGATTTGGAAAGTGGAAAATACAGAGGTGAGCACAGGCAATATGAAGACCGAGCAAGATCATTGAGAATAAAAATGAAGGTGGGAACACGGTGTTATTACACTGGAGTCACAAAATGAAATATTGTGGAGACAGCGGAAACTGTAAAAATGAAGTAGAGTCTCGGTTGAGAAGGCTCAGTCAGCAAGGGAAGCTGCCGTGCAAGCCTGGAAACCCGAGTTCTGTCCCCCAGAACAACCATAAAGGTGGAAGGAGAAAGGTGACTCCCCTGAGCTGTCCTCTGACGGCCTGGGTAGACCATTCCCTCTCCCCGCAGCAACAAAGTATTTTTAGATAATTTTAGTGAGATAATAGGTAAGAGGAGAAAAGGGCAGGAAGCAAGTGGATAGAAAAGGAATTAGGAAATGCAAGGAGAGAAATTAATGGCTGTCATAACTCAGAGACCCAAACAAGACTCTGCAACAAGAACACACTGCCCCTTCTCAGTGACACAGAGGAAGTAGACACCTCCCTCCCTGTGAGACACTCATTAACCCTTTCTCGTCCATTCCCTCATAGCTCTCAGAGCAGGGCATGAATCCTTTCCTGGACCCACTTATCCACGCAACTATTATTTATTGCATGCCAGGCCTGTACCTGACAGGTGAGTGAGACACGGCCCCTGGCCTCAAGGTGCTCACTGTCTGCCATTCATAGCTCACCTGCAATACCCTCAACAGTATCTAGAGATAGGAAACATCCTTCTATTTCACAGAATGGCAACCAGGCACATCCAGCCTTTCCCTAGTGAAGAACTGGTTTGGTCACCTCCCCCACATATGGGACAGTACCTTTGCAAAACACAATACAGATGGATTGCTAGGAAAGCAGTCACAGGATAATGTCTTGAAAATGTCAAACACTTGAGGAAAGGTTTCCAGGGCTTATTTATCTCCTCAGAGCCAGTGACCCCCAGCTCCAGGAGCAGCTGGAGCGCAGAGTGGATGAAGTACATCCCCAGACCTCCTGGGGGCGTTTCAGGCTGTCCAGAGCCTTAGGGCAGGGGCAGAGAAGGGAGCCTCTCCTTGCTCTGGATTCTTGTTGAGTCAGACCTTTTCCTGACTCAAGCCCCAAAACTTGCCCCCCACCCCGACCTGGTGTGATGTTCAGGTGAAGGTTGCTCCCATGGGGCGCCCTGGTGGTCCCTGGGAAGTAGATTTCCCAGGTGTGTAGGAGTCAAGACAGCAGCCCTCAACAGCCTTGGCTTCCTCTCTCCTCCCAACTCCAACCCGGCTACAGAAACCCGGACAAGGGCATCCAGTTCCTGATCTCGCGTGGCTTCATCCCTGACACCCCCATCGGTGTGGCCCACTTCCTCCTCCAGCGGAAAGGCCTCAGCCGCCAGATGATTGGAGAGTTCCTGGGCAATAGCAAGAAGCAGTTCAATCGCGATGTGCTGGAGTGAGTGCCCATGACCCATTCATCCCCGCTCTCCCTCCGTCCACACATGCCCTGCACCCAGGAATTCTCAGTATTTCTTGGGTTTCTGGAGGTGGGAATCCTTGGGTTTCTTGGGTTTCTGGAGGTGGGAACCCTTGCTCCAGCTTCCTATAGCCAGCCAAGTGGCCATAGGTGTAGTCATTCATTTGGTGGCAGGATGAGCCTGGAGCCTTTGGACACTCTCAGGACAACCTAGGTCATGAGTGGGGAAGGGATATAAACAATAATTAATGAACTGTGCAGCTCCGGCCCATTTCTGAGAGACAGCCCCTTAACCTACCTTCTCTCTGCACCTGTCCCGGCAGCCCCAGGACACCCCCATGCCAAGGCTCATTTTCATATTGGTAGAGGCAAAATATGGAGAAAATGGGGCTGGGATGAGTATTATTAAAACAGGGAAACACTAAAAGTCCATAAACATGAATGAACCAACAAAATCACCACCGAAGAGCCTATGTTTCAAACTGCTGTAAATGGCTGGGGTGAGGGCTGTGGGGACTGCCTTCGCTGTGCTGGGCTTTGCATTCTCCATCTCGAGAGGACAGGGTGGCACTCCTCTGGCTGAAGATCAGAGCCTTGGAGCTGCCTCTCCCCTGGGAAAGGTGAAAAGTATCCATAAGTTCTACTCTAGGCCATGGGAAAGCCTGTCTGCCTTGTTCTTGCACAATCAAGGGCTATAGAGAGAGGGACAATGGGCTGAGAGGGGGGTCACTGTGACCTTTTCTGGACAATGCTGGGTGGATGGTTAAAGAGTTGACCTCTGTTTATGGAACAGTCATGGCACTCTTGCAAAGTAGACAGCTCTGTGTATTCCATCCTGAGAGAGGGTGAGGGGTTTGGCTACGCCGATGGACCACTTGCTCCCTGAGAATGAGGCAGGGTATCCTGGCATACCTCATGATCTGGGAGAACTTACAGGCCCCGATGGCAACTCCTTGCACAGTCTGAAGTCACTGATAGTGATAGGGCAGCAAGGGCTGAGCCGTGCCAGAAGCATCTCAGGCCCCCTGGATAGCATTGGCTAGGCAGAACTAATGCCCTGTCCCCCCTCCCCACCTCTCTGGAAACTGGGGCCGGGGACTGAGATTGCACACCTAAAAGAGTAGTGAGAATTGATAAGCTCCAGCAATTCCCGGTGACTCTCTTTCCTCTCTTTCCTTCTCCTCCCTCCCTCACCCTTTCCTGTTCTGCCAGCCCTGTTAGGTGGTGTGTCCTGAAATGATACCCAGGAAATGATACAGGTACCCAGAGCAAGACCACATTGTCCACCTTCCCCACCCCCATGTTCTGTCTCGGGCTTCCTGTCCCTTTCCTTTCCACTAACTCCTTCTGTACAACTGGCCCACACTCCCAGGTGACTCTGATTTGTCTCTCTCCTCTGGGGGGACAAAAGTGACCCTGCTCCCCTTATGGGCTTTGTCTGTTTTCTTCTGCCAACCTATCCCCATGTAACTGGGCCACCATTCTAATACCAAGCCCACAGTTGATCTGGAGCATACAGGACACAGGTTTTGTGCTGAACAACACAGTGAAAACTAATTGTCACCCTTCCCAGGTGACCTGGCATGTTAGGGAATGGATGAGTCACTGTAGGATAAGGGCCTCAGATCTGAGCCTGCTGCTGTAGCCTGCACTGGAGAAGGCCAGGCTAGGGATTAATCTGGCAACTGAAGTACCCAGGCTTGTGTAGGACTCAGGCATTTGTGAAGTACCCAGGCATTTCTAGTGAGAGGTGGCTGCTGGGTAGATTTTAAGAATCAGCTGCCTCTGCCCCTAGGTGCTAGGTAGCATGCGAAAGGTGTTTGCTTAAGTCCAGTTTTCTTATCTGTAAGATGAGAAATTTGAACTGCATGCTATCACAAGTCCCTCCAAGTCCTGGGAAATATGGGCATCTTTCCCATTCTTCTGTGCATTCAATGGTCAGCAACTGGTTTAGGGCAGAGATTGTCTGCCCTTAATGTGGGGAGCATGCTTTGTCATCCTGCCAGAGACTCTCAGAGCTGCCTTTGGGCTTGAGGGCTGGGGTTTCAGGGAAGAATGAGATGACCATTGTTATTCATTCAACAAACACTAAATGCCATTCTCTGTTAAGAATGGACCTGGACTGTGCATCCTGTGTTTGTATGTGGGAACTAGCATGGCTCATGGTCTCAGGAAATGGTCTCTAACATGCCTGGACATTGATGGGGAGGGAAGAGAGCAGAATATAAAAAGGCAATAAGAAGACCAAGACTTTCCTGCTGGCATCGTGGGTGTGGGGAGAAGAGCAGAGGCATGATGCTACCCCCACCAATATCTTATGGCCCATGCTTTATTTTGCAGCACAGAACCCCAGGATCTGCACTCTGACATACTCGGTCCCACAGAACAGAGCTCTATGGTCCAAGTTCAGAACTCCCTAGTTTGTGTACGAGATAGAGTTGCCTCTTCCTGCAAAAAGCCAGGAGGACATAGACAAATAAAGAAAGCCAGGTGTCACCATTAAGAGCCAGTACACTTGGGGCATTGGTCTCTCTCCCTGCCACCATAGCCACCTACCTGGACACATTAATGTGCCCTGGATGGAGAACAGGCAATTACAGCTCTCCAGTTTTGCTTTGCTCAGGCTGGGAAGGCTTTGCCGGGATACTCTACAGGTCCCCTGCTCCTACCTGAAGGCATTCGGCAAATCACGTCCATCCCATACATAGCTGTTTGCCAAACTAAAGGACATAAATCATCCATGCCCTTAGAGACTGAGAAGCAGCAGCAGGAGGGAAGACGGAGGTGGAATGGCTCTCAGAGGGAAATTATTATTTTAGAGACAACATTCAGACGCAGCAAAAGGCTGGGGAACCAGAGCAGAAGTTACCTCAGATGCTTACCCAAGTCTGAGTGTATCATCAAGGGCCCTGATCGAGGAGTGCGATGCTTGGTGCTCTTGGGGGCTGATGGTTGTCTCTGTGCACTGGTCTCCTATTCACAGAAGGCACACTGAGAAAGGAATGTGTTATGGTTTGAATGTCAAGTGTCACACCCTCATCTGCCTGATCCCCAGCTGCTGGTGGTGTTTTTAGAAGGCTGTAGAACCTTTTGCTATCTGTCCAGTTGGCAGATACAAGGCCAGGCCAGGGAGGGTAGATGATTATAAAGCACACCCTGGTTCTGACCCAATCTCTCTGCCTTATGACCTGCTGAGATGTGAGCCAAATGCCCAACACTCCCATTGCCTTCAAGCTTCCTGACCAAGCTTTCTCAGCCATGCTGAACTACAGCCCCTGAACTAGAATAAATGCATTCTCATTTAGGTTTCCTTTTGCGAATTTGCTCACAACAATGAGGAAAATAGCTAATACAGAAAATTGGTACTGAGAGGTGGACCATTGCTCTGGTCTGGTAAGACTGACCTTGTGGTTATTGGGTCTTAAGACCTAGTTAAAGGAAGAATATGGAAGGGTTTGGAGCTGTGGGCTAGAGGCATCTTAGAAGGCTTTAAGTAGAGCCTTGTGAGCTGTTAGAGTTTGGAAGAGCAAAATGCTGATTGAAACACAGACAACAAGGGTACAGATCCTGGAGCTGTAGAAGTGATCAAGTACTCTGCAGGGACCTGGACTAGAAGCCATTCGTGTTATATCCTGTCAAAGCATCAGTCCTACACAGATTCTAAAGGTATGAATGTGACTGAATCCAGAAGTAATGGATTCTTGTTTCAAGGCAAAACAGCATTAGAGTGTGGCATTCTTATGACTTCACTGCAAATACAACAAACACAGTCATGACATCATCATGAGCCCTAGATTTGAGATGTGAAGATACAAGGGTTGGTATTTGCCTTGTTGAGCTTCAGTCTTGCTTTCATCTGATCCTTCATTGCCATGCTCCCATTCCTCCCTTTAGAAACTGGTGTGTTTACTCGATACCATTTAATGCCAGGAATACGAAACTTGTCTTTGGGTTTTGCAGGGTTCATAATTAAGAGACTGTCTTGAATCCCAGAAGTGATTTGGGAGATTTGGGATTTTTGAACAGTGTTGGAACCATAAGACTATGGTTGCTTTGGGGATTATGCTGAATGCATTTGGCATTTTGAAAAGGCACCCAAAGGAGGCTGGAGGTGGGGCGTGATGGTCCGAATGTATCGATATGTCTCCTGAAGGCTTACTTGTTTGAACACTTGCTTTGCTCATGGTGCTATTTTGGAATACCATGAAACCTCTTGGACATGCAGCCTAGCTGGAAGACCCAGGTCTCTAAGGGAAGAAATAGTTGGTCATAGCTGATCCTGGTTCCAGCCCAAACTCTCGGCTTCCTAATCCACTAAGATGCGAATATGATGCCCCATGCTCCCATTACCACCAACCTTCCCACTACCATTCCCTACCACAGTGAACTGTGTTCCCTCAAACTGCAAGCCAACATAAATCCTTCCTGCCTTAAATTGTATCTTGTCAGGTATTTGGTCACAGTGTAAGAAAACAACCTATATAGAATGACTTCTACTAGGCTTAGAATCAAATAAGAATAAAAGGTATCAAAGGGCCATGCCCACTCTAGGATGTTGGCTGTCTGTTTTTGGTGTCCATCTTATTACATATAAGTTGAGGAATCTACTGAAATACATATTTTTTTTTCTTGGGACATGGTTTCTCTGTGTAACCTGGCTATCCTGGCACTTACTTTGTATACCAGGCTGGCCTCAAACTCACAGGGATCCACCTGCCTCTGTCTCCCAAGTGCTGGGATTTAAAGGCATGTGCCACCACTGCCTGGTGAATTACATCTTTTTTAAGGTAAAGTTGACTGTGTTGAGCTGCCTGAGACTCAGGAGGGTTTCTATAAATGTTAACTGTTACCATTTTTATTTCTCCTACCTAAAACTGAGAGGCGCTGGAACCTCTCTGCTGCTTTTTTTGGTGCAGAAAGCATGAATGTGCCTGTTCTGGTTTGATGTCAGGTCTGCTCACCACATGAGAACTTGCTAG